TCACCTGCAGCTTGCTCCCCAGAGTGGTCACCCTGAAACTGACCAAGGTAAAACCTTTTGTCTCAGACCTTTCCTCCATTCCCTCTCAGTTATTCACTGATTTCTTCCATGGTCTGTTTGGATCCTTCTGCAGTGGACTCTGGGCTCAGTGTAGTGATCAGTTATGATTAAGTCCCAGACGGTCCTGTGGTGTTTAGTGACCAGAGGATCATAGTGGGCTCCAGGAGAGATGCTTTGGGTTGAGGCCGGGCGGTCAGGAGGGGCTGGGCCTCAGGAGAGCTGTGAACCGTGCTGCAGGGCGTGGGGTGGGTGTGTCAGCAGAGTCACTGATCAGGGACATCTGGGAGCAGAGGGGTGGGGACATGATCATCCCAGCAGCAGCGGAGGAGCCAGTCTCCTCCCCACTATCCTGCCTCTTTAGCTTTCCTGGTAGTGGATGAATTTCTGTGTCCCTTTTTCTTCTTTCTCTCCCTCCACCCCCAAACGGTTTGCCCCCAGGAAGAGGAGCGGAGATTGGACTGTATCCTGTGTCAGCTGCCTTTTGTTTTAGCTCTGTGATCACAGTGGCTTATGAAGAGGAGGGAATGGGTGGGCAGCCAGGCTGGGAGGGATGCACTGGGCTGGGCCCCAGGTAGACAAGAGGTGCTTCTGCCCGGCAGCCCTTGTGTGTCTTGGGGCATAAGGCCCCAGCCATCTCCAGGGGTGCTGACCTCTGACCTCTTCTAAAAAGAGCAGCGGTGGAATTAGGCTCCTTACCAGGGCGTCCCCACGTCTGGATGGATGTGTAGGTGTTCCTTGGATGGTTCTCTGCCTGGACCTTTTCACAGGACTAGTGAGTGCTCTGTGGTAAGGCGTCCTGGTGGTGCAGTGGGTTAACTCACTTGGCTGCTGACTGAAAGGTTGGAGGTTTGTGTCCGTCTGGAGGGCCCCGCAGGAGGCCTGGTGATGTGCTTCTGAGAAAGCTTTTAGAGCGTGAGTCTCACCCACGTTGGGGAACCATGAGTTGGGATAGAGTGCGTACTGTCAACTGGAAGTAGGTGTTGTCGAGGCTCGGGGCTGTGTTTGTTCTTTTAGGGGGTGAGCAGTGGGTCTCCTTGTGGCTGGAGGTCAATCAACATCGGTGACCTCTCTTGGTGCAGCGCCTGGCAGGACTGGTCTACAAGGACACAGTCTATAACAGGGCAGGGTCTCCCAGTCAGCAAGTCCCTGCCCGCCCTGCGGACTTGATTTGAAGGTGACACTGCAGCAGGGTTCAATTTAATGACCACAGTCATTAGAGACAGATTAAAGGCAGATGCTAGCGGCGACCACATTGACCTCTGACACCACACCCACCTGCCCCCCCTTCCTCTCTACCCTCAGCTGCGGCGGAGTCCCATCAAGAAGGTCCGGAAGTCGCTGGCTCTTGACATCGTGGATGAGGACACGAAGCTGATGATGTGCTCAGTCCCCAAGGTCGTGTCGTTGGTAAGAGGGTCTGAGGGAAGCCATCTTTCTGCTCTTTCTACCCTTCTACTCTTATCCCTGACCCAACAGAACTTCAGGGGCTGCTCTTCTTGAGGAGTGTGGTGTCTCCCTGGAAGCCGCCTCTCTGCCTTGGAAGGAAGGACCCTACACATAGAGTGGCCAGGCAGTCTTGAACTGGGCTTCAGGAGGCCTGGACTCAGCACACAGGGATCAAATCTGTGGAAAGAGACAATTGAGAAACTTGTTATTTACCATCTGAAAAAGGCTAGGCACCCACCCGCTGGACCAGTTGCTTATATGCAAGCTGATGTTGAAGACAATTGAAACAAGTCTGCAGGAGCCGTGTGTGACTCTTGGTGATCCTACTGGAACCCGAGACCACTTCTAGAGCAGATCTGACACACTGAATGCTAATGACCGAAGACCAGACGAGTTGTGGCGTTGCTTAGGGCACGGAAAAGAAATATTTAAAAGTAGAAAAGCTGTGGCAAATAGGCAGGAGCACTTGAACACTGAGCCAGAGTGTTTATTCAGAGGATTAAGTGCAGAGCAGAGCAATGCAGCTGGTAAAGCTTGGGGAGGCACTTGGTGCAGCTGCCCTGCCTGGGCTATGCTGGCCGGCTCTGTTCTAACAGCTCATGAATGTTTGTTTCTCTGAGCAGAAACTAGAGAGCACCTCTACCTCACCTGAGGAACCAGCATTTATGGAGCGTTAAGATGGGCCAAGCTCTGTCACAGGCACTTTACAGATAGTAGTAAATGAACTCCCCTTTTGAGAGAGGAAGTTGTCTGCCCTCCTTGAGATCTCAGCAGTTAGCCATGAGGTGGTGATACTGGAATTTGAGCTCATGGGTTTCCTCCTTCACATTAAGTGGTCCTGGCCTTCTACAGAATGGTGAGCATTTGCTTTGGGTTTTCGTTCCAGCCAACCAATGCCCCATCCAGCTCTTCTGGCCTCACGCTGTCAGATATTAAGGAGGACAACAGCCTCCTCAATAAGGGCTTCCTGCAGGCCAAGCCCGAGAAGTCGTCGGGACCAGCCCAGAAGACCAGGAACCGCTTCCCACCACCTGCTCCCGTGAGTGCGGCTATGAATGTGGCATTGCCCTTGGGACTTGCTATGCTGACTTTCCTACCTCAGGCCCTTTGCACATGCTCCTTCTTCTGCCTGAATGTTCTACTTTCCTATGGCTCTCCTTGATTTGTGCTCAAGGTCACTTCTAGAACTCAGTATGTTGAGGCTTCCTCTGGTCTTAGGTTTCTCTAGTGTCCAAATCATTTTATCTCCCGAGTTTGCTTATCAGCTTACCTGTGGTGGAGGGCTGGGCTTCCCCAGGCTCTTCTCATTTTGGGTCTGCATAGATAGGCCCCCATTGCTCTAGTCCAGCCAGCATTGCCATGGCTCCTCCTTAATTGCAAGCTAATCATGTCCCCTGAGCCAGCTTCCTTGGGTCACAATGAGGAAGCAGGCCAGGGAGAGTAAATGTATGACCTGGGCCACTGAGGAGGGTGGGTGGACATACACAGACCTCTAGCTGGTAGCGGGGAGAGGGGGACCTCTCAGGAGCACATTCTTTCTGCCTGGTGGCCAGAGTCTTTTCTGCTTCTAGATGACCAAGGCCTGGAAGATTGTGGCCTGTGGGGGGACAAGGGACCAGCTCTTCATGCAGGAGAAAGCGCGGCAGCTCCTGGGTCGTCTGAAGCCCAGCCACACGTCACGGACGCTCATCTTGTCCTAAGGAACTTGAACAGTCACAAACTCTCATGTTTACAGGGGGGCGGGGGTTATAAAACCAAGAACATACTCAGGTGACTTGGGCGGGGCGGGCACCACCTCATCTGCCTGCAATGAGCCTGCAGCCACTGCCCTTCCCCAGACTGCTCACCTGCAGCTCTGGGCCGCCCTGGTGCTAACAGAACAAAGCCCACCTGGTGGGCCTGCACAGCAGCCTCTTCCGACACCCTGAGTACCCTTAGCTTCTCCGCCCTAGTGAGGGTTCCTGCTGAGGACAGCTCCTCCCCTCCAGCCCTAAAAGAGTGAAACTACCGTTTTCCTCATCTTGCTTCAGACTCCATCTTTCTCCAAGGCCCTGCTCTTTCTAGTGACTGTTCCCAGGGCCCTCTGGGTTATGGGGACTGGGGTCCTTGTCCTCACTGTGCAGCCTTGTCTGCAGAGCCCAGGTCAGAGACTCTGGAACCCTCCCCTCACGAGGGGCCAGTGAGCTGGGCCTTGTGCTCCCATCCTAAGAAGCAGTTTCTGTGCAGCCAGTGGGTATTGCTTCAAAACTGAGAATAATGGACCAAGGAGTGGGGATTGGTATAATAAGAATAAAGACAAACCTGAACACCGAGTCTGACTTCTACCAGCTCCCCATCGCCAGCATCCATAGTACAAAACTAACACCAACAAGGTCAGAACATGGTCTCCCACCCTCTACCCACTCACCAGCCGAGATAAAAATTCAGCTCACACAGACTTCACAGAACCATACCCAAGATTGTGGAGGTTTTTAGGGACGTTAACAGACTCTAAAGGAGCCCTGGTGGCTGAGTAGTAAGGAGTTGCACTATTCAAGCCTTAAGCTTGAAGTTCAAATCCATCAGCTGCTCTGTGGGAGAACGATGGGTAATCTGTGCAATTTACTGACTGAAAACCAGCTAGAGGGTCAGCCTTAAATTGGTTTCGATTCAAGGGTACACAGCAATAGGCTGTAATTCAGAATAGCAAAAAGCAACAGTACACATCAGCCTAGACAACATTAACAAGCTGTAAAGGTTGCTTGTAACACAGTGACCAATCCCCCAGGGCTCCAGCAAGTCGGGGTGAAGGCCTCTGGCTCTGGTTCCGTGGAGCAGTAGTTCCAAGTCAATACATCTAAATAAATTAGCAGTAGTCCCGAATCAAACTGATAGCCCTCTTGCTCAGACCCGACAACTACCTGTCAGACTCTGTCAGACTCGGACAACAGCTTCATTAACAGGGTATCACATCTTGTTTCCACCTCAGTCCATAAAATACATTAACTCCCCACACAGCTACTCCAGCAAGCGTGGACCAAGTCCACGAATCCACACAGGTCTCATGTGGTGGTGAGCTTCGCAGCTCAGTGGACTCTGTCAATCGATTGTGGGTTGTGCATGACGAAGGTGGCTCACACGACTGTTGACAATGTAAGTGAAAGGTTTCGGATCAAAGCCAAGAACCACGCTGAAGTAGAGACATTTCTCAGTTTACTGCACGCCTGGCTACTCAGCAAGGGGAGTAGCCCTGGGGGTTGGACTCAGGGGGTTCATATGGGGTCCTTGCAGTGGCTCATTGGGGCATAAAATTTCTGGTCTTGGGAAACTGATTCTGGGGAATGTCCTGACAGGATTTTCTGAGTTCTGGTTTTGGAAGAGATCCTGACCCAGGATTTTTGAGTTGAGCTTCAACCTCCATTTTGATTTTTAGCCTAACAGTAAGTGGGCCAAGGCGCTTGCAGGGCAGGCAGAGTTGAAGCAGCTGGACCTGATTAAAGATGATTAGTGGTCTAGGGAAATCAAATGATTAAATCAAAGCCACAGACTACACCACTTGAGGTGACAAGGGGGTATTTGGCCCTTGCCATGGATCAACGACCTGGCCTTGTACAAGCCACCACAGAGTGGTCATCACGTCTAAGTACCTACCTCACACTAACAGACTGCGCCACTGGAGCTCCAGGTCATCAGGATAGGACCCTGGAACATTGCAAGGGAAAACAGGACAACATTACCTACACTTCTAGTGAGCTCTTCCCTGTGGTGGTGTCTGTTGGGCCAGGTATTAAATAAGCCCTTGTCGGGTGGGGGATGGGGTTTGTGCTGAGGGTAAAACTAAAACCCCTCAAAACCTGTTCTCCTGGCAGCACGTTCTAGACCAGGCAGAGAGAGTGGAGCACTCCAGGGCTATGTGGGGCTCAAAAGGAAAAGCAGGGAGAGGCCATCATGGAGGGTCCATGTGGGCAGGGTAGAGGGAAGGGGGCTTAGGATGAGGCTTGGTGCGGTCTCTGGACACTGTGGGGACTGGGCAGTGGGCAAGAGCTGTCATAGAAAGGGGGTGCTAGTTGTCACCTGGGTAGTGATAAGGACCCAGCACTTTGGGAGCACCACCCTCTCTACCAAAACACTGAGCAGCCACTGGTATTTTCGAAGAACGTGTAACAGGGTGTTGGGTGCTGGGGTGGAGAACCCAGAACTCAGGAAGGGAACGGGGTGGCAGGGCTGAGCCAGCCCCTGAGACGGTGGAGGCCAAGAAGTAGGCCAAGTCCATTTGGATGGCAGCTGGACAGGGCTGCTGTGGGTCAGGAGCCATGTAAGGGCGAGCACATGGTCCAGGGAGGCGCCTCCAAGAACCTGGGCTCCCTGTTCTCCAGGCCCGGGCAGCCACGTCACTTGTTCTGACCAATGAGGGGCCTTGCTCTGACCAATGAGGGGGGGGCCTTGCTCTGACCAATGAGGAGCCTTGCTCCTTGCTCTGACCAATGAGGGGCCTTGCTCTGACAAATGCGGTCTGCACAGCTGTCACTGCGCAAAGGCTCCTGGGAGGGTTCCCCGAGGCCGAGGAACCCAGAGAGCCGCAGCCAAGTGACCAGTCGCTGAGGGTCTCCTGCCCATACTGGACCCATGGACCATAACCACTGTGTTTTGAGACTCAGTAAGTTTTGGAGTGCTCTGTTAAATGGCTAAACTGAAAACCTCATTGTCGTGGAGTCGGAACCTACTCCATTGCTTTTCTAAGAGTAAATTGCAGGAGAGGAGATTGCCCATCTTTCTCCCATGGAGCCTCTTAGTGGATTCGAACCGCCAGAGGCGTGGCCTTTGGGTCGATGGGTAAGTGCCTTTGGAAGGCTTATTGGAACCCGCTCAGATGCTTTGAAGAGACCTGGCAGTAAGCTTCCGAAAGGTCCCAGCCGTGACAGCCCAGTAGAGCAGCTCTATTTCATACTCTTAGGGACATTGTGAAGTGGAATTGACTTAAAGCGATGAGTATGGGTTGTTTTTAATTTTTTTTTTTGTGTATGTGCTGTTAAATTGAAACTGACTGGTACAGGAGGTGGTTGTCCCTTCTTCTCCAGTAGAGCATCTGGTGGATTTGAACTTTGTACCTCTGGGATTGCAGCGCAGCTTCTTGCCACTAGGCCACCAGAGCTTGAGTCTGGTTTTTTGTTAGGCAGCCATTTGATTCAGGTGCTGGTGTGCGGATCGGGACACGTGTGAGTCTGTTTGTGGTCCAAGTGTGGATGGAGGAGCAGGGGTTTGACACTGACGACCTCAAGGAACACTTAACGAAGGAGTGGAGGAATGACACGCTACACTTGAGAAATTAACTGGGAGACAGGAGGAGGGCAGAACTGGGATCCCCGGAGGACGAGGGGTGGGGCAGGGTGAAGGCATTTGGTGAAGCTTTTAGGGAATACATGTTTAGGTTAAAGTATTTGTTGATAATTTTTTTAGAAAAGTGGTACTTATAGGGGAGCTCTGGTGGCCTAGTGGCAAGAAGCTGCACTGCATTCCCAGGGGTGCGAAACCACCAGATGCTCTGCTGGAGAAGGAGGGGCAATCTCCTCCTGTACCAGTCAGATCTGATTTGACAGTATACACACACACAAAATAATAAAATAAAAATTAAAAAAAGATATATTTATCCACATTTTTAAAATACCACTGCTTTAAGAGGGTTATTTTAAAAAAAAATTTGCAATGTTTTTTATTTAAGTTGTTGGACATATACTCAGCAGAACATTTTCTACACAATTTGCTCATGTACGGCAGTGGTGTTGATGACAGCCTTAAATGTGTGCAGCCATGCTCAACCTCCCCTTAATCGTTCTTCCTCTAGTATCTAAGATGATTTTAACACATGGTTTTAATGATCAAAACTTTACATGCTCATTACATTCACTCGATAGATCAAACCCAAAACTAGGTGCTGCTGACTTGATTCCAACTCAGAGCCACCCTCTAGACCAGAGAGAACTGCCCTGCAAAATGCCTAAGGCTGTCGGACCAACGGAAGCAGACTGTCACATCATTCCACTTCAGAGGGTTGGTGGGTTCGAACCTCTAACCTTTGGTCAGAGGGCTTAGCTACTGTGCTACCAGGGTTCCTTTTCAAATGATGTAAAAATTCTGGAAAACAAATGTTTTGTCATTAAGTCTTTTGTGACCATGAGGACCCATGATCTAGTTTCTGATGCTATAAATCTTTATGAGAGGCAGCAGCCCATCAGTCTCCTGAGGCGGATTTGAACTGATGACCTTTTGATTAGCAGTCTGACACCAGATGCTCTAAGACCCCAAGTCTGCTTTTCAAATGATTCAAAGGTTTCTGTATTAAAGTGGAGACATTTCCTCTTATTGGCCAACCTTATACTCCTGTGAGGTAACCGCTGCTAACGGTTTAATTAGCACTTCTCAAATGCTAGGAAAATGGATCCCGTGGGTGAGGATTCTGTTTAAATGCAGGCTTCCAGGGCTGAGCAGGTCCCAATATGCTGCATGTTCAACAAGCTTCTAGTTGATGTTGATTTGCGACTGCGTTTTGAACATTGTGCATTGTACACTGGTGTTTTTATTTACGCAGTGAAAGGTTAAGTCCTGGTGGCATAATGGTTTAATGATCAGCTGCTAGCACAAAGGTTGGCTTTTTTTTTATTATTATTATTAAATTTTATTAGTTTCAATGAACATTCACAGGGATTCTGGGCTTTCACTCCTT